TAATTCGTTTAAGCAAACATTGAAGGCTTAAGATCGTTACCCACGCTTGCCCAAGTTGATGGACTCAGATCATAAGATGGAAGTAGTTCCTAAACAAGGAGTAGCCAACATTATTGTAAATCTTGTTGTTTCGAGTTTCTTCACTGGCGCCCAACGTGGGGCCTGCTTCATTTGTACCCAACGTCGAGTTTCTTCAATCTTTATTTTAGAAAAACAATTATAAAGAGGATTTCATTCCAATGTTGGTCGAACTGAATAAGCATTTGGTCTCATCAAATTCCTTATACCAGCGTTTTATTAAGCCTAGTTAACACAAGAACGAATCCTTGACAGAAGCATTGATGGAATACCCATAAAACCAAGTTTATATAACGTAAATTCATGTACAACTGTGTCAAAAGCTTTACAGAAATTAGTAAAGATTATGAGTTGGGTTAAGGTTATGAGTTGGTTTTGGAATTCCTGCTTCAAACTTAAAAAATTGTATACAAATCAGAGAATTTTAGAGAAATTGTATATATAGAGAAATTGTATATATAAGATGCCTTGGTACAAACAATAGCGAATTTGGATTAATAAAAAGGTATGGCTTTTCAAATAGTTACTTTTGTATGAATTGAAAATACAACTCTTTTCAAAAACCCAGACGAAGTTGCGAACGTTGGCAAATTCCTCCCTTCAACGCTTACTTTAATGAATGAGATCACAATATTCTTTAAAAAAATAATTAAAATTAAAAACAATTCAATTCGTACATTTTTGCACGTATAAGAAAAAATCAAAATTTTATGTCACTTTTAATATTTTTGTCATACTCTGAATGTGCTTTAGCATGCACTTCACCATTTTTTGTATGATCTCATCTGGGATTTGTTACATTTCTCTTGTGCTTTATTTATCGCTTTGGCAACTAAGTATAGTATTATAGTATCTCTATTCCTCATTAAACATTCAATATGTCAATATGTGATACTTTTGGATGATATAATTAGTCTTACGAAATATTTAGCTATTTGTCTGCATGACTTCCCAATTTCTGTCAGAACTACTATTCGTTGTTGTAATTGTTCTCATACCCTTCATCACACGGTGGTATAGGGTATTATGTATTTGTGTCTGTCTGTCCATATTAAATTGTAAACCAAGTACAAGTCGCATTTATGGTCCGAATTGGATGACATTTGGCACAGCTCGTTTATTTGGTCCAAGGACGAACCCTATTAAAATGGGTAAAAAAGGTTCAGATTTAGATAAAGCTCCCATATATATTTTCGTCCGATTTAATGTAAATGATGTACCAAAGTCCCAATATATATTCCTGTTTGCACGAAATTTGGTATAGTGAAAATTTCGTGAAAATCGGTTCAAATTTATATATAGCACCCATATATATGTTCGACCGATTTAATGTAAATGGTTGACCAAAGTCACTATATATCTTTCGATTTCCACAAAATTTGGCACAGGGTACTGAATTGTGACTCGAATGATGAGTGTAAAATTTCCAGAAAATCGGCTCCGATTTAGATATAGATTCCATATATATTTTCGTCCGATTTAATGTAAATGGTGTACCAAAGTCCCTATATATCTTTCGATTTGGACGAAATTTGGCATAGGGTGCTGAATTCAGTCTAGAATTATGTATGTTAAATTGATGAAAATCGGTTCAGATTTAGATATAGCTTCCATATATTTTCGACCGATTTATTTTTAATTTTTAATTTTGCACGAAATTTGACATAGCGTACTGAATTGAGTCTAGAATGATGTGTGTAAAGTTTCCTGAAAATTATCCGATTTTAAGACCAAAGTTAGGCCGATTGCCACACAATTTTGCACAACATACTAATTTTTTTGTAATAAAATATGTGACAAGTTTTGGTGAAATCAGTTCGGATTTAGATATAGCTCCCATATATATTTTCTTCCGATTTTAAATAAATGGTGCACCATAGACTCAAAGTTAGGCCGATTGACACAAAATTTTGCACAAGGTACTTAAAATATTCCATATTTATTTTTATTCGAATATAAGTAAATGGTGCATCATGTTTTTCAGAATAGAATGACGTAATATCGTGCAGATGCCCATATATATTTCAGACCAACTTCGTGTTAATTGGGCTCTAAATATTCAACGGGTGCCCGATTGATTTTAGCTTTGAATCGATTTACATAAGTTTGTCCCATTGTAACAAACGAATGACATGTTTATGGATTGATATAAGTCGGTTCACATTTAGATAAAGGTCACATATTTTAGTTCATCCAATTTAATCATACAAAGATATAATCCAACAAATCTATATATATATAATAAAAATGGTGCCAAAAAATGTATACTAATTCATCAATTGAGATCGGATGGGTCGATTTGACTAAAAATTTCTTTCAGTTGTCGGTAATTACAGTGGGAAGGTTTTTATGAAAAAAAAATAGGAAAATCCGCGAAAATCTTGCAAAAATTATTTTAAAGAAACGGCTGGACCGATTTGACTTAAAGTTTCTGTTAGTAGTCTGCAATTGAAGTGGAAATGTTTTAATGAAAGAACATTTTGAGAAAAATCCGCGAAAAATGTTGCAAAATATATTTTGAAAGATATTAGCATTACCACACATTTTATATCGATTATTTATGATTTGACCTCTTCGTAGTTCTTCTTGGACATATTTTGGGTGAAAACGTGGCAGCGTATAATATCTTTAAGTAATTGTCATTTATTGAAAATTCTCAAAATATGTTAATTTTCTACAATCAATTGGATTGTCATTGCCTTGAAAAAAAAACTATTGTATGTATATGAAAATAAATGTATATTTTCATTAGAGTTAAATTTAGTAAGAAAACATTATTTGCTCACGTTTTCCATAAAATCTATCTTCTTTATTATAATTTGGAAAATATAAGTTATGTTATGTGAAGCAATTTGCATGGTATGTATAGGTTGTGAAATTTTTCTTAAATAAAACATAGTAAGACATGGTAAAGTAAAAATTAAGCGGTTTCATTATGTGGAGCCTATACCAAAAATTATACCGGCAATTATGAGGGAAGTTGTATACCCTATGCGGAATACCGAATTAAAGGCAATTAACTTAATATTTTGTTACAACTTTCCAAGTACGTAAAATCGGACAAGGATGCTTAAAAATGCACAATAATGGAACAAATTGTTTTGCACTTATAAATACAACACATATCCCATGAGGGCCACTGACCGAAACATGATCGTGTCCTTAATAGGAAACAACAGCACGGATATTTTTGAGAAAAAACGCACAATACATAGACATATGTTTTTTTTTATGTTTTAGTAAAAAGGAAAACGTCTATCAATATATTCAATATAGTTCAATGATGTTAGTATTTCGCGATATACGATTACAACAAATCACGAAGGTATTATTGAACATTTTCTTATATTGGGGAGGCAATTCCGCATTACATGCTGTTTGTGTTTAACTTATATTTGCCTTTATGGTTTCTCAAATGTATTTTTATAGATGCAAAAAATGTTTGCATTGTGTATTGACTGTACCGATTTCACTCACGTTTTCCTTCGGCTGTTTGTGATTGCATTGGGAAGGGTTTTACGAAAAAATGTTGAAAAAACATAAAAATGTCGGGAAATAGGAATAATCGAATGTTGTGTTAGTTACATCGTGTATAACTAAAAAAACGTCTGCACCGATTTTGACGATTCAAAGGACTTATAAATCGTATGTGGTCAGAATAGGAAAATATGCAAACTATTTGTGAGATTCCGCCAAAACAAATATATAAAGTAATGTTTACAATTCCCCGGCAAACGTTGTTTTGCCTTAGATATAAGTATATTGTATTTTTAAACAAATTGTTAATTAGTTTTCAGATTGCCGTTATAGATTTGTATATCCGACGTTAACATTTTCCGATCTTTTTTTACTCTTAACTGTCAAAAATATATATAGAACCTATAACAAAAAATCATACAAATTAATATAGATAATCTAGCAACTAAATAATAAATTGTTAAAAAATTCACTGAACTTATATTTTAGCGGAATAATTGAGAATTCCCCTCATGTATGGATGAAATTATATACCACTAAACGATACAACATGTTTGTAATACCAACATTCAAGCCAAGCCCAATCTAAAATATTGCGAGTTATATACTGATTTCAATATAAAAGTCAAAAGGACAGTTAGACATGAACAACATTTCAATCTAATTATGAATACTTCAATAATGGACAAAATAAAAAAGTCAAAATATTGGGATGTATCAAAAATGTTTGGTGGAATAAGTTTAACCGATTAATATACAGAAATACCACACATACTCAAATGTGTTTTCGATAACTTCCTTAATATTTACCAAACCTATATTGATGCAATTTCGATAAGGCAAAACAACGTTTGCCGGGTCAGCTAGTGGTGAATAAAAATTTCAATTTTCAAATTCCTTAGTCGACGACCACCTAAAGTGATTTTATGAAACAAATAACATGAAATTGTGAGTTCTTAGATCGAGTTCCTCAGATGAACAGTTTATTTAAAATTACTGTGGCGAATTGATCTAAGAACGCATACTTTTATGTAAATTATTTCATGAAATCACTTTAGTGTGGCCTTTGGCTTAGGGCCAGGATTACAACTTATATTATGTTTAGAAGTAGGACAGTATTCAGTCTAGAGATTTAGTAAGATATGCATTGATACTCTTGTTATAGGATATTGGCCATGTTCTTCAACGTCGCTCCGTGCAGTGATGCTTCCTGTGAGATCGTCTTTTCTTTTCGACTGTCTAAAAGTTTCAAAGGTCGAAAACGTCATATAACTTTATAAAATATAGTGGCAGTTTGTTTCATATTAACCAAGTCAGACAAATATTACACTAATTTAAATATTTAAGGGAATTTTTAAAAATTCTGGGTAACAATCTTTGTTTAAAATAAATTATTAGTAAAAACTTGTTATAAATACATCACTAATAACGCCATCCTTTTTTAGGTATCATGACGATAAAATGGTAAATTACGATACCCAAAATGGTTTCTTTGTAAAATCGAATTTACATAAAGATCCAATAATTACGGAGAGTCATCTGGTAAAGCCTGACGAAGCAGCACTTTTTAAATCTAATAACAAAAGCGGATATTCATATAAGATTGGTCAATCATTTGGGTTTTCCTTGCCAGCCTCGATAAGTATATTAACAATCTTGAAGGTTCGCTTTCATCACGCGGGGAATTACACGTGTGCCCCTTCAAATGCACGATCAGCAAGTACATCGGTCCATGTTCTCCAAGGTAAGTGTTCGATACATTTAACAGTTAGAGAATGAACTGAAAATTTATTTTCAGAAAAATAAGTCTTTCAATATTGTATTAAATAATGAGTCTTCCTGAAAATAATCATCCAAGAATTGGATATGCACGTATTATGTTTTGATTTAACTACGCATTTCTAATTGGTAAACTTTTAAAAATTCAAACAACCAAATTTTTTGTTAGATATATTTGGTAGACAACCAACCGCTGATTACTAAATGAAGTCAGATTTTGAAAATTAAATTAAGTGTATCCAAAGCAGCGGATCACAACAAAAAATAATACTAATAAATAAATATTTCAGTTTTTAGCAGTATTTAAGCAGTATGAAATCGTTAGTTTATATATTACGGACATAAAACTATATGATATCTTAAATAAACCTTTCACCCCGAGCTCAATCAATTGTGAGACAATTTTTAAGAGATGTTAGTATAAACATGTGCATGAGTTGGTTTTTTAAATGTTTAGTATTGCTTTGTTTTCCCTTTAAAATAAAGAAAATAAATATAAATAGAGAACGAACTTAACATGTGGCTCCTGCTTAAATTTTTCTACAAATAAATTGGACAAATTATGAATGCCTTTTGGTCTGAAAGGGTTAAATGTGCCTAAAATATCAAATAAAGGGCGGTAGGTTTATCCCGAAACTTAGTAAAAAATATCGATACTTATGAGGTATGGCTACATAAGGCAACCCTTATAAATGGCCTATTTCAAAACACGAGCCTAAAGCTTCTATAAACATTTTCACCCTAAGAGACTTTGGCTTACAAATTCGTTGGAAAATTTAAATAAAATCTTAAAAATACCGACATTTTGGCGAAAACATAAACCTATTTTGATATTTTTTAAATATAAATATATCAGCTACCCTGCAAAAATCTTCAAATACTTAATTAGTGCCAATTTAGTTGGTCAACATTTCCAAAATACCCATATTTAAGAAGTACTGCTATATGGGCCAACCCTAATAAATAATTACATTTTCAACGACTATTTTTATATTATCGGCTATAACTCTGATATTCGCAAAATTATTTACAAAAACCCAATTACGGTTTCGATTTGTGCTATACACATTAAACTATCTTCTGGCATTGTTTGACACTTGGCTCTGAAAGGTTGTAATAAATATCTTGTTATTGCAAAATAGTCAGGCGTATTCGCTCTACTAAAGTTTTTAAGATACCCAGATAGTTTGATGAATACGGATGTGCCAAAAAATCTCTAAAGGTGTTTTTTGTTGTAGGAACTATCTAAATGTTTGTTTATTTTTTGGTACTATTCTGGTTCTGACTCGTCTATTTCCGTGTTCAGGAAGGTTTGAATTTGGATCGGCTGCGTCCGAAGAGATTCTGAAGACAGATGAGTTGGTTTAGCAGGGCAGTTGAAGAGATGCAGTTTATCGGGAGGTCCAAGTCAACACGCAGGACATGTGTTTGGTATAGTGCCGAATACGATTTGAGGTGGGTGTACCATCCTGATCTGGATCACTGATTCCGTGTGAATGCCGTTAATTCATGCTCGATAATCCTGTTGGTCTAGGGGTTCCCTTTTATACCATTGGATCGTTGTTTCTAGATAATATAGGTCTTTAATGAATGTTCCACTGTGTATTGCGTACATTCAACATACTACACTGGCACCGCACTTCTTACACCGACCGACCGATTGCTTTGTAGGAGGGCAAAAAGCATTTTGAGAAGCTTCTGATATCAAATAGCGGCGGTCAAGAAGATACCTCAGAACCTAGCCAAGATGATATCAGAATAGCAATCAATCGGCTCAATAGTAATAAAGCAGCAGCCGATTGGCTACCAGCCGAACTATTCAAATGCTGGTCAGGAGTATGCATCAGCTGATCGGTACAATTTGGCAAGAGGAATGCATGCCCAATGATTGGAACCATCGCTTATAAAGTTGTACCCAGTGTGCTGTGAACGACTGAAGCCAATGGTCAATGATATTATTGGACCATACCAATGCGGCTTCAGACCTGTCAAATTCACCATTGGGCAGATTTTCACCCTGCGCCAAATACTGGAAAAGTCCCACGAAAAACACATCGACACATTTCAATCGGCCTATGTACAATCAATTAAAAAATCATTTTTAATCAAATTAATTCTATTTTTACTATTATTAACATTAAGGAATTTTCAAAATAATCGACCTTATGTTTTTTTTAAACCAAATTAAATTATATTAAAAATAAATGTCGTTTGATATAAAACTCAAATTTTAATATTTTAACATGTGGCGGAGGTCTACGTTTTCTGGTAGCCCTCATATAATGGTACCACCATTTTGAGTATTTACCAGATTTATTTATACCCAAACTTGTTAACAGCCGAACCGGTTGACGTAAATTGCCAAATTTTGCTTACACAACTCTTGTAGCATACAGACGTTTTGTCTTTGTTCGAAAACATTAAATAATCAAAATCGCGATTTTTATTTCTCTCATACAATTTATAAAAATTCTCGGGTTTTGTTTACTAAAAATCTTGCTAAGCAGCCACAATCAATGTGGTTAGTATTCATTGTAAGCTTTTGTTTTTAGTCACGTTGTCTATATGTTGTAGTTCTTAATTGCTATTTTGTAGCTGCTGACAATATCAAGAAGCTTTAGTATTGCTTGGTAACTTTTTTTGTAATGTGTTGCTATTTGTTCCAGTTGCTGTGCTGCATATTTTGAGAATGAATTTAGCTAGCAATGCGGTAATTTTCTGTGTTTTTGTTTTCTAGTAGCTCCCATATAAAGGTTTGAGTATTTACCCAAATATTGGGTAAGTGTAAGTTGTGGAGTGTGTTTTCAAACAGGTTTGGTTTATTTTCAGAGGTTAGTTGTGTTTGCGCTTACCGCTAGAGATTCACAAGCTGTGTTAATATTTATTTATCTACCAGATAATCACAATTTACAAAATTCGGTGATTAGTATATTCAATGATAAAACCGTGGCTTTTAAAACATAATTTTAACGTTTGTAAATTAAAATTCCAATTTAATGCCTTTATATAAAATAGGGACATATTAGTTTCGGATACATTAAAAGTCTAAAGCCGGGCCGGAAAAATAAGAAATTAAGGATGTTGGAGGACGAATAACTTTATGTAACATATTTGGTTTTACCCTAACGTAGGATGAGAGATGGTGTTGTTACCTTTGGCGCATGTTCTCGGGTAAAGTTTGAAACGTGTGTTGGCTCTGTTGTTGTTATTATTGGTGCGTTTCTGTGTTTGTCAGGGCATTATTTCTGGATATATGGAATGTAAGGGTGAAAACGTCGACACATGTTAACTGACCGACATACACGAATTCGATGGCTCCTAGCAAGGCACTTTACGCAGCACCTGTCTTTTAACACCAAAATGTTCCGTTGCCTTGGTGTCATGTCCAATAAACCATTTGAATAAACCATTCATGACAATTAAAGCTCATTTTAAATTGGTAGCAGTGTATTTCCACTTGTATCTCCTGTGCAATGCTTGCAAGTAAGTAAGCAACGACCGTGGGGTGCATGTGGAGGAATTAAACTCCATTCAAATCCGTACATACTGAATTTTTGGAACAATTTTGTGAGGTGGTTCCCTGAAAATATGCGAAATAAACAAATGGACTTGCGGAGTCCACACTGGTGATCTATAAAGGCGAAAAAGAGTGCATCTGTTCACTGGTAAAGGAATCATTCTTTAGGAAAGCGGTATTTTCTTATAAATAATGCATATCTTCCACTTCTGTAAAATTATTTTAAGTCATGTTTTAAACCGCGATATGTAGCCTAACCTAAACATCAAGTTGCATTCAGCAAAAGCCACAAATTATTCAGATAAATATATCAATAACGTTCCATGTATGGAAGTTTTGTGTGTTAGAAAGTCTTTTTATAGTTAACTGGTGACTCAGAAGTTTGAGAATGTATATAGACACGTAGCAATGTTCGTATAGCTAAACATGTATTCCAAATGTTACCGTCTTCAATTGCTAATATTTGTTAAGACTTTGGGTTTTGTTGGAACAAAATTCGTTGATAAGGTCGATGCTCGGGATGTACATTGATATGACAGTGTATTTCTTCACGTTTTCGCTATATACAAATATATATATCTTCATCTATTAAATCCGTTTGGAATGTAGGACCTGTGTGGAGAACGTCATTAAGGGAGAACCCTGAATTTGTTTAACGGAAGCATTTAACATCTCTGACCATCGTTGATTTATGCTCGGAACGAACTACCGCATGATGTGGGAGGTAGAATGAATAAAATTTAACTTGATATAATGCAGGACTCATTATATATTTTGTGACTTTTCTAGTCCAGAGTATAGTCCAAGCTTAAAAAAATCTAGAAGAACCGAGAGAAGTATCTTCGGAAAATTCTTGCTTGAAAGGGAGTCGAACGACGTAGCTTCTGTTGACATAAGATCACTGCCTTTCTGAATCATTACCTAATATCAAATCAATAGATTATGACTTATTAATATTAGTTCGGGAGTATTAGGCTTCGTGAAGGAAATAGCCGTCAACTTATTTATTACCTTATGTAGTGCTATGACATTGACCGAACATTGAATGTGGTGTTTTTGTGAAAATAAAACAAGGTCTCATTCTTTGTCTGCTTTTTGGGTGGTACCCTCTATTCCACTAACTACATATCCCCATATATTACGATTTGGATTGGCAGTTATTACAATTTGTTTTAAAAATTGAGTAAAAACAAAAGGAAAACTAGTCTGAAGTGTAAATAAAAACTTTTTGTTTAATTTTCACTTATTAGTTTTAATAATCACAACACAGAACAATTAGGGATATTTTTCACTTTTTAAATTATTGAAAATTTCACTTTAATCACTAATTATTTGTAAAAGCATAAAATTCGTTTTAAACAAATCACCTAAAATCCAATAATTAAAAAGTATATATAAGAAATGTATTATTTGTGCTTTTGTTTGCAGTATGTTGGTTGTTACTGTTT